AAAACCCCAAGCAAAGAAATTTACAATTTCAATTACTGGGATTACCAGTCAGCCTTTTATCAACTGTTCCTCTACCAAAATCCCAGAAACAAACATACATGGTAAATTAAGTTATGCCCAGAAGCCATTTATAAAGGTCTACCCACTTGGTTCTATAATTGGTGGTCTAAATATGGTGAAGATCTTAATACAGTACCCAAACCCATATCAAAATTATATACCCCTTGGGTTGACTCTCACCCAGTCATACAAAAGATGGACAAGAATCAAATTATTGAAGGTTTATGTTCAACATATTTCTTCGCTGAGGCAGAAATTCTATGGATCTGGAATTGGTCCTTAGAAGCTGCATGGGATGAACTTCACCTACCATCTCTTCAAAAAAATATATCACAACAAATGGTGGACGAGTATCAACGTTTAAGACAAAGTAAAACATATAGAAGAAATTATTAAGATGAATAATAAAATCCTTGATAATATTTTAACTCAAGAAATTCAAAATAAAAACCCTATGGTTAAACTAGCAAAAACAATGAAGAGGAAATACCCTCACGCAACGGAAACTGAAATTCAACAAAAATGCCTTGAGCATATGAAAAAACAATTCTTCAAGGTATTTGACAATAGTGATACTATGTCAACAAAATCCACTCAAAGTAAAGGGATAGACATATCCCTACCAGACGCCCAGGATCCTTATGAGGAAACTACAGAAGAAATGTGGGAAGCAGCCATGGGAGTTCCCACAGATGTAAAAGGTAAATGTATTGAATAGTTATAAACTATCACTTACCTACAGTCATACTGACTTCTTTTCTAAAGTTATAGTTTTACTTCTCTAATAAGTTATACTTTACTAGAAACAGCCAAGATGCCACCTAAAGAGATGAAATCAAAGAAAAGAGATTCGGTGCGCAATGGGACCCACCCGACACCTTATCTTTTACTTTGAGTTGAGACTCGGGGAGCCACTCTTAGTGCTAAGTGACGCATGCAGTGACGTAAGATTCAATCAAAAGACGCCGAAAGATAATGCGCATTAAAAGCGTCGACAATAATGCGTTTACTTCAAGTCTTCTCCAACCAGCTGTCCAAAGGCAATCAATATGATTCCTTTCTCAGTTATAAATAAGGGAGAAGTCTTCATAGTTCAGTGTGCTTATTTTTGCTTTCAGTTTTCAAAGTTAAGGAATAAGAGCTTCACTCTCTACCTGACACTTTGCCTTCTTTTCTTTCCCCTTCTTCTTCTTTGTAAAAGTTAGCCGACCTAAGGCTTTGTAAAATAAATCTGATGAAATAAACTGGAGGAGCCAGAAGTTTTATTTAAAATAGCAGGCTTCAAACTGTAAGTCATCTTATCTTTTTTTTTTTTTTTGCTTAGCCGCAGAAATTAGTATCAGAGCCATGATTCTCTAAGTTTTTCTTACGGAAATAATTATGTAGATCTAATAAGTAGGAATTTATAATTAAATATATTCTTTATTATTTTTGTTGATAATTTAAGAAGAATGATAGTGGGACGTCACTCAAGTCGTGTAGCGTAATGTTTCTCGTTGAAGCCGCGAAGGCGTGTAGGATAGTGTAAGTCGTTGACAGACGTGCTATCACGAGTCTTTACTTATCTTTAAAAAAAAGAATTTCAATTATAAATCCTTACTTGATAGAATTTACATAATTTAATCTGTAAGAAACCTTTAATGGTAGAGTAATCTCTACCTCATCTTCTGAAATGGCTCTTAATAAGAGCAAGAAAATTAAGAATGCTCAGTTGACAGAATATCCGTCTGAGCTCGAATCACTTAATAAGTGGTCCATCACAAATGTCCCTAATAAACACATCTATAAAATTGGGTTCTTTGATTATAAGTGATTGATAGCAATCAAGACCTTAGAAAGAACCATAACAATATACCTCATCTGATCTATAAAGAGAAAGAAAAACTTTTTCCCACAATCTCTGAAATGAGCTTCCAAATATAATAATTGTTTTGTATATATAGATAGATATATATACATACATACATAGATATATGTATATATGTGTTATGGTATATATATATATATATATATAATATATATATATATATATATATATATATACAACTATATATATATGGAAAGTGAATCTAAAGGCTGACACCCTAGGCCTCCCACCTAAGGACCGCGGCCTAAAATCACATCATTCCTAATTTTTTTTTGCGATCCGCTCCATTTGAACTTTAATCTACACGGTTCTAAATCCCCAAACACACTAATTTTGGCGCTGAACCCGGTCGTGTTTTTGTGCACCACTTATCATCCCCACAGCTGCCCAATTCTTGAATCCTGGTTTCTCTGAATAATTAAAACCTTTTACACGGCTCAACGAATAGGTCAAAACACAACGCGCGTTCAGCCAAAATTGGTGATGTTTGGGTTTTTAAGCAACGGTGTTAGATCAAGTTGGTTGGTAAGTCGAGCGCCAATCGTAGAAAAAAATTAGGAAATGAGCTTGATTTTTAGACCGCCGTCCTTAGCGATGGAGCCTAGCTGTCACCTTAGATTCACTCCCATATATATATATATATATAACGTTATAATATATTATATATATAACACATATATATGTGTATATATATATATGTATGTATACATGATACATACATATATACATACACACACCCTATTTTTTTTTTAAACATGTTATATAACTCGTTATAACTCGTTTCATTACCTAACACGACCAAAATGTTACATAACATAAGCACAAAATGCACAGGGCACTTAACGGCCAAAAAAACTTAAAAAATACGTTTTTCGAGCATTTTGTTTGGGGATTATTGGTTGGGACAATTTGGGGCTAAGTGGGATAATTATTTCAATGGAACAGTTTTATTTTTTTAGGATATTTTGAATGAAATAAAGTGAGACAATTAAGGATAATAGGACAATTTGAAGTTTTGATTTGACTATTCATGTGGGATAATTGATGATGTGGCACATTATTAAAGTACAATATTTATCTATCAATTAAGTCTAAATTAATTTACCTAATTGTTTTAGCATATTATTTAGTATGTTATTATAATATAATACATTATTTTACTTTATACTAAACTATAATATATTATATTATAATTACTAATAAATTATAACTATATTTAATATTATTAATTAATATAATATATTATAATAATATGATATATTATATAACAATTGATATAGTATACAAACAATATATTTAATATAATATTTCAATAATATAATATTTAATCAAAAATTAGAATATTTTTTAATTCAATATAATATATTATTTAAAATATTATATTATTATTAAAAATTTAATATTTTATTTTATTTTATGATAATTACTATAATTTAAATAGAATAATTGATGACATGGCTCCTTATTAAAATATAATATTTATAATAATCGTAATATACTATCATAAAAATACTACAATAATATTTTTATTCTAACTAATAAAATATATACTAAATAATATAAAGTAATATTATAGTAATATAATATTAATATTATAATATATGAAATATTATTAACCAATATGTAATAATAATATATAATAATGTTATATTAGATAATATTATATAATATTTTATTATCTTACGTTATAATAGAATTTTATAATATAATATAATTAAAATATATTATATATTATAATACAATAAATATATATTAGATATTTAGTAAATTAGTGCTTCGATTTTATCTTATTTTCCTCATGATTATCCCAAAGTTAAGAATGGAGTAGTTTTGGAGGTTGGGATAAAAAGTTTGTATAGAATGGGATAATTTTAGAAAAAGTAAGGTTAATTGTCTCAATCTTATTGTCGCAATGAATAACATCTTAAAGTGAAATCTCAATCTCATTGTCTTAATAAATAACACCATAAAGTAAAGTCCCAAAAATTATCCCACTTACCTTAAAATTACACTAACTAATAACCCCCTCTTAAGGGTTATATAACCAAAATGTTTTTACGTTATATTGATTACCAGATTTGAACACATAGATCACTCTCCACAGTCCAAATCTAGTAACATTCAGCCCTTTATCACTGTGAAAACCCTGATCCTAAACCCTAGCGCCCGAAAATATCTCTCAACTTCTCTCAGTGACGATGAGAACTTTGACTGTAGAAACCTTCAACTACGAAAACCTTCAACAAGATCTCAGCGACAAAACCCTAGCACCTCCATCTACATCTCTTCCCCTCATCTCTATCTCCATCAAGATCTACTCCTCATCCCCATCTCAGCGACAAAACCCTAACTCCACCTTCATCTTTTCCCCTCCTCGTCTCCATCTCCATCGAGATCCACTCCTCGTCTCCATCGAAGCAATGCCCTAGCATCTCTAGGTAAATCTCAGCGATGAAACACATGGCAATTCTACACATCTCAGCGGCGAAATCTCCTCCTTGGCTCCTTCACCTCCTCGGATCTCTCCATCTCTAACTCTCGCTGATAGCTTTCTCCAGTGACTTAGTCAGCATAATGAAGTAACAAGGTTTAGCATATTTGTGATGTTCTATTTGAAATTTTTGATTATTTTAATTATTAAAGTCATTGTGAATTGTTCGTATTTATAAAATATCTAAACAATTAATAAATAATATAACATACGTTATGCATTACGTTTTTTTGTGCTTTTTCCATAACCCCTAACAAGAGATAAGCATTACGTTATGTGTGATCGTTATTTTCATCATTAATATACACATATACATAACACCTTAGCTAGAACATAAATAAAAAAAGAAACCAAATACTCTCGTCTTCAAACACCTGCCATTTACTGTTAATATGCACAACATGTTAAAATTTTGACAGATATGATTCCGGTGGTCTCACATGCATTTGATATAATGAGGAAATCATGATATCTCACCCAAAAATTATCAAACACAGCATAATATTTTGCGACAAGCCATATAAAAAGATATATTGGTCCATATATCGGCTGATATTTTGGCAATATTAGGGATACATCACCCAAAATAGCCAAAAAGTGGTAAATGATATTTAGAGACCATATCAGTTGTGGCAAGCCCTTTAAAACGATATATCGGGGGATATTTCGGGCCATGTCGAGGATATTTAAAACAAAGGTTTTACTTAATTATTATTATGATATCTCACTATAAGAGTTATTATATATGTTTATAAATTACTAATAAAATATTTATAAATAAAAATATTATTTATAATATTATACAAAGATACAAGATAATATAATGTAATAATGTAAAAGTAGAAAAACATAAACGAATATTTAATAATCAAACAAATCAAATATATGATTGGATGAATTCTATTCGTTTATGAACTGAATAATAAAAACTATTCGTTTATTGTTAAATGAATTATCGAGTTGAATTTAACGGAATACTTAAGACGAATAATAAATGAACAATTTGTTAATTATCTGGTTCATTTCCACTCTAGTGTAGAAGTATTTTAAAAATGGAATGAGCATAAGGGATACAAGTGTATTGTTCTCGGGTTATAGAAAGGTCTTATATTTCCATGGTAAACCTGATGAAATGAACACAAAATGAACATAAAAGAGGATTGAAGTGCATTGGTCTCAATAAGAGAAACAAGAAGATTTTAGAAGTACAAGCTACTACAGAAACCATGGAACGTACGGCAAAACTTGATGAAGAACATGTGAAAAAGGAAAAGTGAAATCATTTGAGAACCATACTTTTTAAATTTCCATAAAAGGAAGGGATATCACAACGTTGCAAGTACTGAGATGTTTTCTACCACTATTTCTCACAGAAATCATATGGACAAATATGCATCCTTTCTTACAAACAAAGTTGACCTGCTATCAGCTCTACAAGTTTAACATTTCATGCCAGCATTAGCCGTAGATCTATAAAAACCATATTGGAAATGGATAGTCTCTGAAAAGTCCTAAATTATAAGGAATAGCAGTGTATGGTGTAAAGGTGCTTATATCTCCATAGCAGCTCACGATACGAATACTAGGGCATCAGGAGAGAAGAAAAAATGCATATAGCAGGGATCCAAGCCTTTTTGTACATGGATAAAGATGACATAACAAGAGGGCAGATCAGCACCACGACGTTGAATTCTTAAACTTTTATTTTCTATAAGCCACTCACAGAGATGCATCTCCTTAGCAAAACAAAATGCATTATATTTGCAGGGTTTAGTAGCTAGAAAGATAAAAGTCAAGAGCTATTTGACATGGAAACCAGTTTTCCATGCATCTTTAATATTAATTTTACAACATAAACCAGTGAGGACCAGGAGCATGAATTTCATACCCGTATATCAGCAATTTGCAGCCGGGGATTTGTTGGGCTTTCCAACCACACAAGTTTTGTCATAGGGCTGATGGCAGATGACACCTCGCTCAGGTCACATGTATTGACTTGTCTGTCATTTGAAGATATTAGCAATTTTTCTTATTGAGTTACAAAAAGAATGTGCATTAGACTAACTTCACTACAACTCCTCTCTTTCTAACCAGTTGGAGCAATCTATCAGAACCCCCATATATATCATCTCCAGCAACAATTTCTTGACCTAAAGCAACAAAAGTTGGTTGGTCAATAGATGTAAAGTAAAGTTAAAACAAATTATACAAGCTGATGCTCACCAGGTTCAACAAGCTTCGTAACAGTGGTCAAGGCAGACATTCCACTGGTGAAGCAAAATGCAGCGTCAGCCTTCTCAAGCTTAGCCATGAGACTGGTGGTCAACAAACACGCAAATAATTATCAGTCAAGTAAAAAAAAAAAATCAAGATTCCTGCAGCACATCAGTAAACACTGTGCACAACAGAAAGAAACAGTACTGACCTTTGCAACACATCCCGAGTAGGATTACCGGTTCTAGTGTAGTCGTAAGGACCGTACTCGGTTGCCGATGGCTGAAAACAAGCATTAGAGAAAATATTAACCCAAAATGTGATCGGAGTGCATGCATTCTGCTGTAGTTCATGTTTGTTGATGTCACACTTGCTCGCGAAGGGATTTCCAAATTTTTAATTTGGGAGAACGCAAAACCAAATTGCGTTTGCATCTCACTTGCAGAAAAACCGGCTGTGTACTGAGTTATCATCACATTTTCACAATATATAACCAAAATATCCTCTTGCAAAATTTTAGCCAAAACTTGTGACAGAATCAAATAAAGGAACAAGCTTTCCACTCAAAAATAAAATAAAATAAAACATTTTATATCATAGTTACCTGGTTAAATGTGGAAGTTTGATACAGCGGGGTACTGAGAGCTCCGTAGGGATCAAAGGAGTTCCCGATATTGGTCAACATCGTCGCTATGCTCGGCTCCCTCCTCTTCAGCTCTGCTTCTTTAATTAACATCGCCAAAATTAATCAATAAGGGAGATCAAATTAATTGAAAAGTAATGATCGATCACCAAAAACCTAAAAGGAACTCAAGCATCCAACCTAGTTGAGGAGGAGGAGAGTCGTCCAAGCAATCCGCAAGTCCCCCGGCCAAAGCCGAGGTGCTGAGATCTCTGTCCTCGCCCGCACAGCAATTCAACTCGAAGCTCTTCGCGTTTGATGCCATCCTCAGAGGAAACGAGAGGGTTGCCCTCAGACTCCAACGGCTGCTCCTTCCCGCAGGGGCTTGGCTGCGAGCGGGGTCGGATGGTCGGAGACGAGGGAGAGGAGGAGAGTTGAGAGCGGCAGTGGACATTGGAGGCCGAGGGAGGGGTTTTAGGGCTGGTTTGGATTTGGAGCTAGTGAAGGGAAGTTAAGGGAACGTAACGGAACCGGAAGAAATTATTAATGGCCTGTTTGTTTGGATGGAGGGGAGCGAAGGGGAAGGAAATTTTTGATTTCTTTTTAGGGGCAGTTTGGTTCGCTATTATAATGGGTGAAAAATCAGAAAACCTCTTCACGTTAGATTTTTAGCCCTTCACGGCAGTTTTTTTGTTTCCGTCCATTTATTTGTGCCGTTTTGGTTCGCTCGGATGGAAGAGGGAAAACTCTGCTGAAATCGCCGTCAGCTCAGATTTTTTCCCTCACTGATTTCCTTCCCCAGCCGAGTGAAATTGATGAAAACTCTGCCACGTCAGATTTTTTTTCCTTCTTTGCTTTGTTTATAAAAGTTTTCCTTTTTTTCTATGCGAACCAAACACAAGAAAAATAAATACATTGGTTTCTCACCATTTTTTATGTACGAACCAAAGCAAAACAATCTATTTCTTGGAAAAATTTGGAAAACTCAAAACTTATATTTCTTTACATGGAATTGCATTTCCCTATATCAAGGAAACGAACCAAACAGGCCCTGAACTAAAATTTTGCCTTTAGTTGACTGTTCGGATGAAGGCTAGAGATGAGACAGTAAGAGAAATCTAATTTTAATCTTGTTTGGTAGTTTTATTTAGAAGTATAGGGGCTGTTTGGTTCGTTTCCTTGATATAGAGAAATGCAATTCCATGTAAAGAAACACAAGTTTTGAGTTTTCCAAATTTTTTCAAGAAATAGATTGTTTTGCTTTGGTTCGCACATAAAAAATGGTGGAAAACCAATGTATTTATTTTCTTGTGTTTGGTTCGCATAGAAAAAAAAAGGAAAACTTTTGTAAACAAAGCAGAGAAGGAAAAAAATCTGACGTGGCAGAGTTTTCATCAATTTCACTTGGTTGGGGAAAGAAATCGGAGAGGGAAAAAAATCTTAGTTGGCGGCGATTTCAGCAGAGTTTTCCCTCTTCCATTCGAGCGAACCAAAGCGGCACAAAGAAATAGACGGAAACAAAAAAGCTGACGTGGAGGGCTAAAAATCTGACGTAGAAGGGTTTTCTGAGTTTTCCACCCCTTATAATAGCGAACCAAACAGCCCCATAGAGGAAGAAAATAAAGAAAAATTTGAGTCAAAATCTTACACCCCAAATTAACCTAACATGTAGTATAACATGTAAATTTTATTTTAAAAAGTTATTAAGGGGAATTAAAGAAAACTTATTTTACCTCGTTTGGTAAGTATAATAAAGTAAAGGACAGGAAATGAAATATATATAAAATGACATCAATATCCTTTCAAGTTACTAAGTTTTTTTTTTTTTTTTGGTTAGATCTTGATAGGATATAAATTGATCTCTCTACAATTGCTTCCTCTTATCCTTTACCTTCACTCAGGTTACACCTCAATTAGAGGGAAGAAAAAATAGGGCTTTCTCCCTCATTTACCTTCTCTTCTCCCCCACTAGCTAGCCCAATTTGATTCCCAAATAAAGTTAAAGATTATCATAGCTTCCCTTACCCCTCATTACCCTCAATCCAAAACACCCTTATGCCTCATTTGGTACGCGTGAATGGAGTCAAGTGAGAATGGAAAGAATGTAAGAATGGAATGTAATAGATGTGGGAATGGAATGTATATTCTCATTCTTATGTTTGGGTGTGTTTAAAGAATGAAACAGGAATAACAATCTTATTCTCATTCCCATGTTTGATATCATTTGTTCGCAAGTGAGAATAAAATTTAATTTTATAATAATGCCCTTACAAAAACACAGAATTTTAAAAACATAAAGTATTTTAAAAATGACTAAATAGTTTTTTTTTAAATAAGTTTTATAGAAATGATATTTTTTCTCATAGAAATAATTTTTCAATTGTTAGTTATATTTTGGTACACCGCCTCAATAGCAATTTCGGACTTTTGGCTTAATAATTGAAAATAATTTTCATAGAAATTATATTTGATTATAAATAATTATATTTTCATATTTCTAACTTCTAATGCTACATGTTTATTACTTGTACAAGTAGCTAATACAACTAGCATCATTATGCACAAATGTATACAATAGACTAAATTCCATATGCATGCTACATGATTTATGACTGAATACCATGTGCACGCATGAAGAGAGAGATCGAAAGAAAACACTAAAATTTGAAGGATTGGAAAAACATATTAACTTTTAGTCTGTATATAAAATTTCTATGAAATTTCAAATTTCAAAAAATTGATTAGGAATAGAAAACATGTTAACCTAGAAAGTTTGAAGGAATAGAAAATATGTTAACCTCTAATCAAAATATAAAGTTTCAACCTCATCAATTAAGCACATTCTTTCTTGTTGTGAGTGCTTTGAAAAAATTACAAAAAAGATTAGGCATATATACTTTAATGTAACTTCAACCGTACATCCAAAGATAAAATATTTACTAACCTAATTTCCAATAGATTACGCAACCGAGTCGCCAAAAGATAAAAAATTATTGTAAAGATTAGGTAAAGATTAGCCTCACATACATATTTTAAAAAGAAATAATGGTTACCTAACCGAGTCGCTTTGAGTCGAAAACAAGATTTTTTTTTTTCTACTGCATACGCGATGTAACTAGGGCAAAGTTGAACAAAGAATAGTATTTTAATATTTTACATCTATTTGTATATTTATACGAGTAGCTAATGATATTATTTCTATAGAAATAATTTTTCATATAAGAATATATATTTATTTTCGTATCTTTTAATGAGGGTATAATCGGAAATTATTTGATTATTTTATTCCCACTTAAGTGGGAATATTAATTACTTGTTAAATGGTTGAGAATAATAATTCTCACATAAAGTGGGAATTGATAAGAAGTGAGAATAGTAATTCTAGTGTCTAAAAATACATCGTGTTTAGTGCGCATGAATAAAAAATTAGAATTGCATTCCATTCCCACTCATTCCTGTGTACCAAACGAGGTGTTAGGGTTTCTTTTTTTCAGAGAATTTCTATTTTCTTCAAAGGAGACACAAGAGGGTTGGTTTTAAAAAAGTGGAAACTTTCAAAATAGACAAATTTATAATTTTATTCCTTAAAATCAACTCATTTTAATTTTATTTACAAAATTCGACTCAGTTTTGGCCACGTCAGCAGCGTAGGCTAAAAATGAGTCAATATTAAAAAATGCTTCTTTTTAATTAGTCAGGGTTACCAACCCCGACTAATTAGATGTTAGTTTAATTACACGGGTTACTAGTAAGGGCTAAACTGTAGTTCAAAATAATCACAACTGCCAACAGCAACTATTTAGAAGGTTAATTAACTAGGTTGCTAATTAGTCAGGGTTGACAACGCCAATTAATTAGAAAAGAATCTTTTGAACTAGTTAAAACTGGGTTGATTTCTATGAATATGTTTGAAATAGGTTGACTTTGATGAATAAAGTTATAAATGGGTCGGTTTTGAAAATTTCTCCTTGAAAATTTTGAAGATTTTAATGGACTAATGAAGTGAAGAGCATGAACGCGATTTAGGAATAAGGTCGGGCTCATTCATTTATGATCTCTTTAATCCCTCTCTCGACTCTCGAGCTATTTTAACTATTTTGTTAGAGGGCAAAATAATCTTTTAATCTATATCTATATCTATCTATATCTATATCTATACTACTTCTAAAAGAGAACAAATTTCAAAACTTTTACATACCCAATTTGCCCTCTTCAAATTTCCTAATTCTAATTTTATCCTATATGTATATATGTTATCCCTTTATTTATTCCCCATCATCTTTCATAACGCAAAGAATCCCAATCTCCCCTTCGTTATCCGCCCTCTCCCTCTCTTTGATAAAACAACGCTCAAATCGACTTTCTATCCTCCTTCATTATCTGATCTCTCCCCTTCCCCTCTCGCTCTCTCTTTGATAACGCCCAAATCCCTTTATCTCATTCATTATTTGTGCTTTCCCCTGCCCCTCTCCCTCTCCCCCTCCCCCTCCCCCTCCCCCTCCCCGTCTCTAAATTAAATTGACATTCGGACTCCTCGCTTCAGTTTCCCTCTCCCTCTCGCTAGCTATCTCTAAATTCATCCTTATTTCGACGATCAAGCTCCTCACCTCAATTCCTTCCGTTTTCAACCATTGACAATGTAAGTATAGAATTGGTAGTAACTACTACGGCTTTCCAATCCCTAGAAATTATGTTGTGATTCTATAAATACCTTTTGCTTCAATTTTGATGGAACAAAGAAGATTTTTTTTTTTCAATTGTCAGTATGGATATTGGTTATTCTTATTACCTTCTTGTAATTTCTTATTCATATTCTCAGTTTCATTGTTTGATGAATTACCTTTATTTTTGGTATTGATTGATTGTTGATTGTTGTTGTTAGGTGTCGGATATTGATTGGAGGAGTAGAAAGCTATCAATGTAAATTAAAATTTTATTTTATCTCTATGATTTTTCTCTTAGAATTATAGCATTTTGTAACATATTTTTAGTGATATCTGTTGAATATGATTAAACTGCTATTGTGTTTGGGTTTACTACATTTTTTAGTATAATTTGATATGTGCACTGAGCTCTTTTTTTCCCGTATGTTCTGTTAAGTGGACTGTACTATACCTTAAAGGTAATTGTTTTTGTTTAAATAGTGATGAAATATTGCATAATTTTTATTTACATATGACTCAAATCATAATTAGTAATTACATTTTTTTGTTGATAAAACTTTAGCTTGTGTTTGATTAACAAAGGTTCAATGAAAGTGATCTTTTACCAAGTGTTGTCATCTATCTATCTACCCTTTAAAAGAGCCGGTTCCTAAAAAACTTTCCCCTTCCCTAATTAACCTTACACTATTTTAAATATACCCTCAGCCTTAATCTCCACTACCGTTATTCCTTCCTACTATATCCGCCGAAGCCGAAGAGATCATCCGTTACCTAAGCACCTTCCTCTCCGCTGAAGCCGAAGAGTTCATCTGTTAATCTTCTCGCCGTCCCACGAACTTCCACTCACTCAACAGCCATGGCTGCATTATCTCCTCCTCAAATCTCCTTCCTTATCTCCTCATTTCCCAACCCTAATAATTCGATCCGTACTCACAAAATACCAGTTCCCTCCCCAAAATCGAAGAAAGAAGCCGACTTTTCTTCTTCAACTGTTCACTGCTCGGCGACGAAGAAGTCCTCGCCTTCCGCTGAGGTCAGGCAATTTCTTATTTCTCAACCTTTGAATTGAATTTACAGGTTTTTTTTTGTTCGAATTGGGAAATTAACTACTTTAATTTGGGATTCGGGAGAGGAATACGCTAGCTTGATTGAGTTGGTATATCTGATCCCAAGTTTTAATGAACGGCGGATTCATTCTTCTTCGTCTTCACTCCTCTATACTAAACCCTAGATCTAAGCTTTAGTTATGCTCAATTCACCGTATCCCCTTTTAGTTTTTCAATCTTCTCATTTTGTTCTAATAATTTTGCCCAAATTCTCAATTTTCTACAGATTCAAGCGACAAGTGTTTAAATATACGAATAGCACCTATATTGCGACTATAAAGTAAGTTTAGTTTACTTGAATTCTTTTATTTTTCAGGTTGTGATTTCGCATGTGATTTTTTTAATTTTTTAATATGATTCTGATTTGGTTCAGAAGAAGCGTTCGTCTTCTTTTCCCGCGCAAAATCGCTCGATTTGTCGATTGAATCCCGTTAAGGTCACCACTAATCTCACCAGAGGCCAGATATACCTTTCCTCAATTTTAATTTTAATTTTTTTACTTTTTTTCTTCCGATGAAATTGTTGATAGCACCCTAAAAATGGGAGCTATTTTGTCTGTATATTGGAACTTAGCTGTAGGATAAATTAGGTCTGCTGTGGCTGTGATTGAATGCCAGTTTGTAAGATAGGTCATTGAGCACAGGGAAAACTCTAGGGGTCCATAGATTCTATTTATTTAGTTGATACGTGCAAATGATTTCCCTTAGATGACTGGAAATTATGAATTAATTGCTATATCAATTCTGTTTTGATCAATCTAATATCAATTGTGTAACCAATAGATTGAAGATATTAATTAATTGCTATATCAATTCTATTAAATATATTTATATCATGACTTCTTAATAATGTAATAGCTACTCCAGACAAAAATACAGGAGCCCCTTTAACCAATAACCATTACTTGAGAAAACCTGTTCAGTAGTCCTCTTAGCAATAATTTGACTACATTTTTTATTACATGTAGGGATTTTTTAAAAATATATTTTTTCCCCTAAGAAAAACACATTATGGTATTTTGAGGCTTTGGGTTTGCTTTTCTCTCAATTCTCCTTGGCTGCAGGGTAGTCCACGGAAAAGGGAATGCTTAACATTAGTTAGTTACCAGAAGAATGTCCAACAGAAAATAAAAGGTGTAAAATTTAAGCTATTTTCTCATCCAATTCACAGAAAGTTTCGTTGTTCAAGAATATTTAAACATAACTTAAGATAGGAATGTAGAATATAACAGCAGTCATACTAAACATGATTGTCCAATCGTACTAAACATTATACATATTTTAGTGATCAATCTCGCATCTGCTGCATAGTCAACTCCATTTCGGTTTTGAACTCAGCTCTAATTTCTTCGTGTTGTTTAGTCAACGCTTCTTGCAGCATTTGAGCTAGTTGATCCGGCGTGATCGCGAATGATTCTCGGGCTCGTCCAACACTGGATGCGGTATCGTCCGATGCAATAGCGGAACAAGTATCCGACAATTCTTCATCTGAAGATAAACCCTCGTGCATTCTCCTGTAATCTCGACAAGTTGGCTCTTCTTTGTAACCGCGCCATCCTTTGAGAAAGACCCCGCTCAATTCTCCCTCCCGGAGAGAAATCAGGGTCATAGTTAACTGACTTTTGCTTTCCTTTATTGGTCATGTTGATGATAAGACATGCAAAGAGATAATACTATCAATTTGTTGTATGTAAACTGAAACATACAGAATGATGGCTGGTTTTAAAGACTTGAAACAGACATTCAAACATGCGGAGAAATTAATCTGACATGAAATGAAATTATACAAGGTACCTCAGGCTTGTTTCTCTTGGGAGGAAATATCAGATGGGACCTGCAAGTCAATCGAGAAATGCATATATTAGTTTACCTTTATGATTACTGCACTTGTATACTGTGATAACGTTGCTAGATGCTAAAGTATCAAGCTGTAATTTTTGGAATATGAGAGGTCGCCAAAAGCTTTCATCAGATAATAAAGTTCAATCAAGAGATAAGCGGGCTAAAAATGAATAGAGATTTAAATATGCAATTTAGCATGCCCTATGTACATGCAGAAGGAGCATAATGGTAACTGATCTAGCATTATGCCTTATCCCACAAATTCCAGTGTCAGCTATATTATCGTTGCTATGATTTCTATCAAGTGATATATTTGCCTTACTAAGCTCTTGGCACAGATATCCCTAGCTCTATCGCATATCTCTATAAAGAGACCGCATTTAATTAGCTTGATTTAGAATCAAGAACCAAACATGGAAAGCTGTAGATTAATGATGAAGGTTAGGTTA